TTGGCATGATAAATTAATCAACACATATCAAGAAGACACACATGACTAGTATGATGAGTAGTTCAAGGTCATATGGGTTTTTCTAAGTCAATTGATACAACTGATATAATCTCAATCTAATTTTAAGTCAATGTAATGCAAAATCATTAACTCTAGCCATCCATTCTTACGGCCCTACCTGCTCATCCAGACCTTCTCTTATCCAACATCCACTGATGATATTTTCTCCTTTCCCAAACAGGGAGTCTCTCATTATTGCCTTTGCCCTTCCATTTTTTTAATGGGATTTTTTATGGGATTAAAAGAAAGGAAATAACTTTTTTAGCAACTGGATAATATTTGTTTATAAGATTGTGGGAAATTTTCCCGAAAGAAATTTTTAACTTAACATGAAAAGATATTGGGAGCAATAGCAATAGTATCTGTACATATATGACCTCTGTCCAGAAGGTATCCAGCTATGTAATATGAAAAAGAGACATTTATTGAAGAAGATACAAAATACAAGAAACATTGTACACAGGGCAGTGGTGTCCCCTCAGTCCCCTTCTAAGTAGGCACCTTGGGACCTCACACAGTTCTCCCAATTGCCATCAGCTGCCCTGTTGTGTTTTCCTGAATCTCATCAATGGTCTGAAATCTCTTTCCTTTCAAAGGTCATTTTAATTTTAACAAAAGTCAGAAGATGGAGGGCTCCAAATATGGGCTATAGGGGGACTGAGTTACCTGCATGATTTGATGTTTTGCCAAAGAACTCTGCACAAGACATGATGTATGGGTGGGCATGTTGTTGTGATGAAGCTGTCAATCATCAGTTGCCCATAGCTATGGCTCTGAATCACATGAATAGTTTCCATGGAGTAATGTTCAAGTGCAAAATTTGATACAGATTCATTGTTCTACTTGCTCCATCATTTTGAATGCAATGGCCACACAGTACACATGCTCACTCAATGACGTCTGCTGCCCCCACTGACTGGTACAGTGAAGTCATCATTGTTTGCATGTGCACATTCTAGCCCACTCTCCTTGGCTGCCAGGTTACGTTTATGTCATGTAAACTGTTCTCATTATATTAACAATGGCTGGACTTTTTCTGGATAGACCTCATATATAAGTCTGAAAACAAGCATGACCATTTATTGACTATATCTGAATTTACCAAACACTTCTAAGTTTCTAACTATGGCACCCAAGTGTCTACTAATTGAAAACAGATCACTGTCAGTTCTCCTGGACATCCGTAGTTACCAATAGAGTTTGCCAGAGTTTGGAAAGCTGGGCTTCAGTCCCCTGTCATCTGCCACAATTTCAGTAGCTCTGTGTGATAATGCAATTATAAAACACAACACATAACCATCCTATGAGCAGCAATATTAGAGGGAATTATACTATAAAATTCTTGTGGTTTCACATATCTGCTGTGGTATGTCTGGGACCTTGCACAAAATTTTTCTTCTGCACAACATGCCTCCTTCTATTCAGCTTCTTGATCTGACTAATTGACTGTCCAGAGGACAAAGCTTAAAAAAATAATTTCCTCAACTTTTAAATCCCTCACTTTGTCCTCCATCGCATATATCCAGTGGCTACAACAGCACTCAGCACGTGCGAGCTCTCAACACACGCTTGCTAACTAAATGAAAGCCGAGCTACCTTTTCCTCCTGTTTTCCCCCATAGCACCTTGGGCTTTACCTGTGCCAAGTACCTTTTGCTCTGTATTCCAATAACTCGTGTATTTGTAGTCTCAAGATGAACTTTTTAAGGTAGAGCTTAGTTCTTGTTCACCAATTTGTCTCCACACTAGCACAGCATGTGGCACAGCATAGGTACCTAATAATTATGGCAAAATAAATAATGAGTGAAGTTTTATGAGTCCCTTAGATTCAGAAATGTCCTCGCATTCACATCGAACGCCCATTCTTCAGTGGGTTCTAAACACCTCAGGGATTTCTTAAGGAGGTGCTCTCCATATTAGGATTATCGTTCAGTTTCATTTGAAAAAAGGTAGGGAGAAAGATCACTCTGATAGAAGGAATTCATGGAAATTTCTTTGAAGGAAATTAATACCAGAAATCTTAGACATGAAATGTTTGTGAATAAATGTACTCTCTGTGCAAATGAGAGTCAATGCATTTTTCTAAGGATTAGTAAGGGATGAATAAAAAATACCTACTATTGAGAGAAGAGAGGCATGGTATCATGAAAAAGGGCAATAGGTTCAGGAGGGTGTGAGTCTAGTTCCACTTCTGAGTCTAGGGTGTCCCATCTCACTGTGAATGTGTCCTTAACTGCAATGGAAGGAACTAGGGGAATGACAGAGCCTTTGTCTCCTACAGCCATGACCCCATGTCATATGTTAAGCAGTAATCCTATCAGCCTTTTTTTTTTCTTTCCCTGAGTTTGTAGTATATTTTGTAATTCACATTTAAAACATTTTAATCTCAACCATGGTTATATTTAGATTCATGATAAGTGAAACCACATTTCAGGAAATACCTTTTCTCCTCCCTGCTTTTAAGGCATAGTTTCCATGTATGCTGCCCTTTTCCTCCTTCACATGCCCCATCTGCCTCTTTCTTCTCTTTGTTTTTCAAGGGAAATTGCATTTGGATATTTTTGATTCATTTCCAGGTGATTACCAAAGTATTATGTTGTTAGAATGACTTGTTATTTAAAATGTCAATTCTTTGAAACTATGAAAAGGATGACTGAAGCTGATAGCTTTGTGTTTTGGAAAGGATTTTATTTCATTAGCACTCCCAGCCGGGGAAGGAGGAAAGGTCAGCCTTTCCGCCGTGGAGTGCTGGAAGTGGGGAACCTGAGGTAGACATATTGAATCAGGCCTCTTGATTGGGGCCATCTCTTCGGACCCTGGTACTTAGAGATCCTGACACCTTGTTTTTGGCTTTGTCCACTTCGCTCTGTGCCAAGTGTGTAATCCGCTCTGCAAAGTGTTTGTTTCCTCTGTATTTTTCTCCTACAGTTTTTTACTCCATGCTCCTCATTCATCAGTGCTACCCCATGTCAGCGATTTATGAATGGTGGTTACAGCCAAACATCAGCCTGTGTGGCCATTGAAACAAATGATGTTGTGTGAGCTGCTCCCTTTCTATAGGGCAGATTTGAAAAGGATCTGTGTGGCACTGTGGGAAGGGGCAAGCCTGAGAGGAAACCCTATAGAACACATCGTGCTTTAGTTATATTTGATCATCAAGGAAAAGCCCCAGTTGTCACCTGGTCTTCCCATGAAACTGCAAGTGTCCAGACGACTGGGGAAATCCACTGCACTCCAGCTCTAAGGAAACCAATCACCCGCTTGGGGGAGCAGCCACAACCTGCCCTCAGCATCTCACATTTAGCCCTTGGGTGTCCAGAGGCCAGCCACCCAGGCCGCAGAAGCTGGTCCCTCCAGAGAGCAGATCTGTGACAACAAGCAGCTTGTCACTTTGTCCTCTTAGACACCCAGGCAAAGGGAAGGGATTATTAAGACACAAAGGTCTAGTCTGTTACATGGGAGAGCCAACTCAAAGAACCTACAGCATTCCTTCTAGACTAGTTTTCCAAATGAGTGGAGGTAGTGTAGCAAATTCCATCATAAAAATCAGTTTTTCTGAAGTAAGTTTCCAACCTCGTCTAATGTTTTGAGTTAAATTCCTCAGTTAGGGAGATTTTTATGGATTTGATTTTTCTAGTAGTTTATCTTTTAGTTTTAAGTAAATATAACTTTCTTACCTCTTTCATTGTCTTATCCATTAACCATCTTACAAATTTGGAGCTTGTGCAAACATCTAAAATGCAGCATATTATTTTTTTTTTTTTTTTGCTATCTGGAACCATTATTTGGAAGAAAATATATTACCATGTCTAAGTTTTTAGAAAGTACTTTATTCTTTGCTTAATTTTTGTTTTGAAATGAGCATGCTTTTTTTAAACCCTCTCACAGTACTTTGTAGTGTGCATCACTTTTTTTTAACTAAAGTAAATTTAGTTTTTTATGTTTTAAATTTTTTATTTCCACAAGGTAAAAGAAGATTAGGGGAAAGTTCAGTCCCAGGAAGACCCTGCTTAGTTCCCTGACTTCACCCTTCACTCAGCATATCTCAGCATCTTCAATGTGGGTGTTACATTGGCCTGAGGATGGCTTACCTCAAGCTGTAGTGAAAAACCAAACCAATATATGTAAAAGTTCTTGAAAATAAAAAAACAGGAAACTTGAGGCATTAGAAACAAATGTAAGCTTATTCACATTTATTTAGTTATCTTTTAAACACATATGTTATTCTAGAATTTATCATTTTATGGTATTTCAGAATTTATTTCCAAATGTCTCTGGCATATAGGATAAAAAGATAATTTATCCAAACTAACAAGTTGTTTGACAATTTTGACTACCAATGTCTGGATGAGTTTGCGATATATGTTTAATCTGTTTTAAATTTCAGTGATTTAAACTTCAGTGATGACTAGCGTTCAGTGAAGTGCTAGTAAAAGGCACAAATAATGGAGAATTAATAACATACAAGTAAGGTGAGAAAGACTTTATATAAACATTTGGTAAAAGGCAGGTTAATGACCTGTGCTCTTTCCCTAAAATAGTCTTAAAACTATGTATTCGATCCTTGCCACACAATTATTGAATACAGAATCAGTGGCTTTTTCTTAATCTTATTGTAAGAACACATTTACAAAATTAATAACAAAATTTTGTACTACTCATTTAACATTCTGTCCTAAAATTTAGTTAGCTACTCTAGGCAGTTATATGTTTATGTCACCTAAAATTACTTAAAAGTTATACTGTTGCCTTGAGAAACTATTATCTTCTTCAGAGTAAAAGTGGCCAGTCTGATAATCTTATAAGCATCAGCTGAGATGCTGGGGCAGTAGTAAAGTTTGGGTATTGCTCTTAAGTTTCACTCTTCTCCATGACACCCTTCTTTGATTCTTTCTTCTCCTTCTCCTGACTTTGTCAACCTCTCTTCCTCTTTGCCTCTAGGGAGAAGCCCCCAGTGGAGGACAGTCATTGAAAAACTACATGGAAGAAGTGAGTTTTAAGGTGGCCTTGGAACATAGTCTGAAAACAGTCTACCTATCATATAGGATGAAGCCCTCACACGGGCTTTCTCCGTCTGCCTGTAGGGTTTCCAGTCTCTGCCCACTCAAGGGGCATGCCCACACACACAGGACAAGTAATGTTACCAAAATTGCTTTTGTTCCTCATTGGTAGGGAGATACTATATATCTATGCATCAGGAAAATGAAGGTAAAACTGCATAAACATAGTGCCATCATATATTTTCAGTCACAAGAATTTGCTAATGTCCTGGTGAATGAGAAACACATATTTTATATTGGCCATCCCCTTCAAAGTAAGACATGATCAGTTCTCCCATGACGAGAACAATCTATACCAAATAAGCATCTATTTGTGTGACAAATGCTTACCCAGAATGTTATTTGGGCAATCTGTTAAGCAGTGCTGTCTTAACAATGAAAACATGCAGATGATTTTTGTTGAAAAATCATTTAGACTTCTCGATTTATTTGGGAGAAGTCCAAGGGTGTTCTGTGTCACATGATGTGTTTCTGGGCAGGCTGCAAATGGTGTTTGGGAACTTTCAAGTAAACCAGTGCACGGAATCTGTGAAACTTGCTCTGATACCAATCCACAGTGGCCCCTGCATTAGCCATTTGAATCCCTGCAGGTGAAGGGACCTGGGAGACAGTTGGGGGGATGAGGTCATGGAAGTACCAAATATTAGATTTGAATTTTGCTTCTTAGCAAGACAGTCCATTTCTCTAAATATTCTATTTTTGCATGCATGAATTCTTTCAAAAAATTTTGAATGCCTGACTGAATGTACCACAAGGGGGGAACCCCCCCAAAAAACAGAACTATCTTCTGGTGAGCGGGCCTCTTATAGTACAAGCTTTCCCTGCTGGGTGAGTGTTCTAGGAACCCATGTGTATCAGTGTATGAGCTGGCGGTGTTGTGAGAGGCTGCAATCGGTTTCAGTGAATTTTTTTTTGAAGACTCTTTCAATGTGTTTGCCATTTCATGATGGGTGATTTACAAGTGCCCCCACCCACACTGCACAGAGTGTTCAGCAGTTCTTGACCCAAAACAGCATGACCCTTGTGCCCCACCCTCCCTGTTCACCAGATCTCACCCTGGGCAACTTTTTCTTTGTTTCTCTGATGAAAAAAAGTCCTCAAAGGGAAACATGTTGCCAATGTGGAAGAGGTGAAACAAAACAAGGCAGAAGCACTAAAAGGCATCAAAATTGCCAAGTTCAAAAACTGTTTAGAGCAGTGGGAAAAACATCTCGATAAGTGTATTACATCAAATGGAGAGTACTTTGAAGGTGACTGAAGTTTAAACATGTAAGAATAAATATACACTTTTTTATAAATAAATTCCAGTTTTTTGTGGTTCCCCCTTGTATGTAGTTCATTCATTTATTCAGACCACTGAATCCATACATAAACTCATTTTTACTTCCAGATCTCTGGAGAGGAAAACCAGAGTACACAGCACCCCTTTAAGTCTCTAACATTCTGGTTTTCCTGCTTGTTTGGAGGTGGCTGGAGTTTTTTGAAAGGTACATGGAGAAGGGGTAACAAAGAAAAGAAAGGACATAGCCAGGTAGATAGATGTTCTGAGCTCAGGCTAGAAAATTCAAAATGTATGGGGCACAAAAATGGAGGGTTGGAGCACCAAGTTTCAATTTCGACTTAAGAATTGGATACAGAAACTGACTAGACAACATTAAGCAATTAATGCCAAGGCGAGGCGGACATTATTTTCCACGTTTACACTAATAGGATCTCCCTGTAAGATTCTGCGGTTGCCAAGTGCCTGACTCAGCATTCCCCACTTGCTGATAGGGTCTTAGGGAGTGGACCACCTCCACAGGAAGGGTGCCTGATACCCCTTGTAATCAATGTGCTGTGTAGAGTCCTAGTGCTGTGGAGTAAGGGGGCATTGTGGTGCTCAAATAGGAAATGGGTTGCATACAGGAGAGAGAACTGTCAAAGTGTCTTACTCTAATTTTGTCATTCTCATCCTACAAAAATCCTTTTGTCTCCATCATTACGAATGTGCATATAAATATACATGTCGTAGGTAATTGTAAGTGCTGAAAGTGACGGAAAGGCTGAGAACGTGTACCTGCTCAGTGTGGTCCTCTGACTAGTAACATCATCATCACCTGGGGGCTTGTAAAAAATTGCAAAATCTGCATTCTAACAAGATCCCCACATGATTCATAAACACCCTAAAGTTTGTGGGCACAGCCCTAAAGTGTTTTTTCCAATGTTATTTCTAGGGAGTAACTTCATACATCATGGAAAATCACCAATTTTATGTAATATAAGTAGAGGAAAATTTTATTAATAAATTTAAGAGTTTTGTTTATTCACCTACTCTGAGGAATAATAATTTTGGTTGAGTAGGGGTATAAAATGTCTGTAGCTTATGAGATTCATTACGGACTTTCAGTTTGAATTTACAAGTATGTGCAAACTGCCCAAGGTAAGCCTTGCCTTTCTTAGGGGCTCAGTTTCACATAGTAATTTTATCTAATGTTGGTTGGTTATTTAGCTTTTAACTCTTATAAAATCAATGTGATTATCCTTTATAGTAAAATTGTAAGTTTGATCTTAATTAGAGAACTATTCACTTATTGATAGTTTTCCTGTTTTGGTTTTTTTGCAGACAATCATTGGGTTTTTGGGAAATATACTCAAACTCTTCTTTATTGTGAACAAGTTAAAAATGTGAGCCAAAAGTAGGTAGTTTTTGTTTTTTTTCTCATGGACACTCTTATTTCACTTTTTCCCTCTTTCTTCACATTCCTGGAATCGGCAAACAATAAAAACCAGTATTTATATATGTTAGAAACATTGAAGTTAAAGCTGAGCTAGCAAACATTTGCTTTTATTTAGTACACACTAAAATTCATATAAACCATAATGTTTACATTTTTAATATATTTAACATTTCTTGCTAAAGTATGAACAACTCTTTGCAAATCAAAGTCTCTAGGTTTTTTTATTTATTTACTCATAATTAGACAGAATTATTACCATGTGAAGTCAGACAGTTCTGTTTAGACCTAACTCAAAATTAAAGATACAATATAGTCTCAAAAAGTAACACTAAAATGGAATTTCTAGTCCATATTTTATATTGTTTAGTACATTATTTTTCCAGAATAGAATTTATATTTTTGACCAAATTTAAAAAACAAAGAGATATTTTGTAATAGTCTACTTTTCTTAATCTTCAAAATGGTTCTGAAAGTTAAAAAAATTACATATTCTTTACTCTTAAGGCACTTAATAACTCAAGGGAGAAATAATAGTTTCACACTACAAAAATTTCAGTTTTTGGAATCATAATATCAACATTCATTATATGTGTGTGTGTGTATATATATATATATATATATATATAAAATTTAAAATAAGTTATCAAAATCAAATACTTCTAAAGCTAGCTAGGCCTTTTGTAGAGAAGCTAGTCTATTTAAAATATATTTCCTAGATTAATAAAAGGGAAGCAGCATAGTATACTAGTTAAAAATTCCCTAATTACTGGAGAAATGTGTTAATTTAAATGTTTATAAATCAGATAAGTATTGTAAAATGAAATATTTCAGAAACTCTGAAGAACTGAAGACTGAAGTTTATGATTTTTAAAACTTTTCAAAGAGCAACTTAGAACAGTTCTCACAAACTCAGGAAGCTACTGGTGGAGGCAGCTTTCAGAGGGGTGTGAACTAGCTCAGGGTGTCAAGTGGCAGCTTCACGATCTCTAAGGGTGTCAGACAGGAAAAGAAGCCTGTTAAATAGCAGACCTTTTTCAAATCTGTCGAGGTTGGTTTTGCCAGCTGCGCCATCTGAACTGGAAAGGGGATCAGTTCTGTGCGACAAAATGTATTAGAATCACTTATCCTGCCAATTTTGTCTGTCTTTTTTTCCCTATGTTGTATTCTGTGGTTGTTAATGCAGTGAAGTTCCAACTATACTTCTGAAGGAGTGTGCATGACATTATTCCCCTAAATTAATAAGAGATAGTTGACCTTTCATCAAGCACAGGGATTTACTTTTTAAAAATTGAAACAACCATTATTCACTATCATAGTTTTATTCCACTTAGGAAACTAGGAAACAGGAATATTTTTAAAAGTAACTCTAGTTCATCATTGATATTCATTAAGAATTGATACATGTTAAAGGATAACAATTTTTTAAAAATTTATAATCATGTCTCTCAGACAGATATAAAATGAATACATCAAAGATTTATTCAACTCATTATTTAATGAGGGAACCAGTAAGATGTTACAACCAGTTCAAAGAAGACTTCAAACCTTCACAAATATAGTTAAATAAGAAATTTTGAAGTTCTAAATAAGTGCAAAAACTGGCAAAACTGATTAATACCAATAGGATAATAATTTCATTTAAATAGATACCATTTGCATTTATGTAGACAATAATTTTTTGTACTACTATAAATTTTTATAAAGTACATATTTGTAAAATAGCTCAAAGTCAATAAATGACTCAGAACCTCCATCAAATCAGATACATGGAAGGGCATGCTAGAAAATCTGTTACTGGTTCTAAATCCGTGTGTCTGAAGCTCTGAAAGACCAAAACCCAAAACGTCAAGAGTCTGGACTAGGGAAAGGCTTATTGATTGAAAGGTTGCCAGTCAAGAAGTTTAGAATGCTAGCAGTTTCTGCAATTCATCTTAAGAAAGTTCAGAGTTTTGATTTCTTTTATGTCAAAGAAGGAAAAATAAGAGGGGTTGTTTTTGTAAAAACTAAAGCTCCAAGCAGAATTTCTCTGATGATTGCATGACTAGAGCAGGAGCTACCAGCCTGAAGACCATTGGAACAAACTAGGCCTGAACAAGAGATACTGAGTCAGAGAGTCAGAGATACTGAGCAATTCACTGTTTCACAAAATGACTTAGTTTTCAGTGACTTCAATACAGCCAGTAGTGTTTCATTCATTTCAAAGCTTTTCACC